GACCCATTTGACATCATGAATCTACTAGGATGGTGGGTTACGATAGCATTTTTAATCTTCAAAATACTGTTCCATGGTAACGTGTATTTGATCGGAAAAATATTTTCTTTTGAGTATAATATCAGCGTCTATATTTTACCTTATAAATATCAAATGTCATTGAAACAATCGACTACGTTCGTTCTTACATATTTTACAAAAAAAAGCAAAAAATCAGACAGCCTAATCCTTACAAGAGACCTGCCAGAGCCTCCGAACTCTGACTCTGGTGGAGTCGGAATCGGAGTGAATCTGTTTTTTTGGAGTCGGAGTTGATGGAAATTATAGAGGCACCCAAACCCTTTTCTTATTTTTTTCCGATACAGCATGATGGAAATTATTCCTAACTGTAATTGAAGTCTAAGTTTTTTTAGGTACTAATTTAACATAATCGTACTCTTTTTTAATTAAATTTAGAATTTTATTTCGGGACAAGAGCTTAGCTGTCAAAGCAAATATCTTTGATAGGCAAACAAAAATTTGAGATTCTTTCAATTTTTATTATCTTGTTCTACACTCAACATATCTGTTTTTTTGGCTTATAATACTATTAAATGAATCATTTGTGTATTGAGTAACTGGAATTTGAGTAAATAAATCATTCGATGAGTACACAAACTCTGTTGCTAAGGCTAAAATGATAATCTCGGAGTGTTGCATAATCGAGTGTAGATGAAATAATAAATGATTTTGCGAGTGAAAACGTAATGCCTAAATGATCCTGAATCAGATCAAATTTGTGATACTACACTGACCCTAGGTTACATAATATTGCAGCACATGTAAGTTGTCACTGATTTACGAATAAAAATTTTCGAAGTTTTTCGAAGTCGGCGTTAAAAAAGCGTGACTCCACAGGTTTCTAATTCTCATCCTTCGCAGTAACTGTCTAATGAGCATTTTATGTGATCAAATTGATTGAAAAAATACGCTTTGAGCTTCTATAAACCAATCGCAACATAATCATTATTTGCTGCCACATTTATAACGAAAAATTTGATCAAACTGATCCAACTTAAATACTGTCAACGTTCATATCGTCGAATGAGAAATTATAAGCTTTTTATTGAATTGATAGTCCCATTTAAGTATAAAATAAATGATTCTTATACTCTGTCGAACTTTTGTAGCTTTATAAAGATTTAAAAGTTCTTTCATTAAAAAACAGCGAAATGCCGCGGTATCTTTCATGTCCACAACACAACTAAATTGTCTGAAATAGTTTAACATCTGAACTTCATTCAGTTATATGTCAAAGTAATATGGAAGTTTGCTTCGGGTAACAAAAAGCATTCACTCATCCTCACCTAATTTTGAAATGTTCCTCCGCTCCTGGTGTAAATAAAGAAGTTTCACAATTTGTGATGCATGCCATTTTAAACCATACCAGAAATGCAAATAGATCTGCCAAGTATCTTATTAATCAAATTTACAACTATTACCTATTTTTTTAATAATTGTAAGAATTGACAGCGATTTAAATCTGTTTCCAGCACCTCAGGATGTTCGGATTATGGCCGTATATGTTTGCATTTCTTACCAGTCAAATGTAGCGAAGCAAAATGATGACTAGTTCAATAACTCGAAAAACTCTCAAAATGATCATGGGCAAGTCTATTGATAGTAAACCGAAAAACTCAAAGTGTGTAGAAATTTTTCTTTTCTATCAGAGCTTGTAGATCTTTTTTTTATTAATAATTTCAGTAAAAAAATAAAACTTCGAATTTCTTTTGTAAACCGTGGTGCTACGACCAAAATACTAAAAAGTGCGAAATAGCTTAGAATAAATATTTGTAGCTTTTTGGAGAGAAGTGTTTCACTGTGTATGTCATTAATAATCAGTGTTATTTCATTGAGTATATATATTGTAGTTATGTATTCTGATAGTCCAGCCGTCAAAATATAAGAAACGACGAATTTCGAAATAGTTTTGTCATTGAAATTAATGACCATTCATAGGTGACCCACTGGCCTAAGACAAGGAATCCTGCATAAAATTAAAAAACCAATAGCTCGTTCTTCAGATACAAACGAATAGTTTGAATAAACCTAAGTGAAACATAATGAAATGCATTCATCATTAAAACAGAAGATGCAATATGTGAAGAGGGGGTTGTTAAGCGATAACATTTGCTCTCTTTCGACATTGCATTTCTTATTTTTTCTAGTAGTCAATTCAGATGTCAAAAGTCGATTGCTGTTAAAATTAGATCGTTAGAGTTTATTCTGACTGCGAATGACTGATCCAAAGCGCAATATTATCGATCTCCTATGCCGTTATGCCATGCAGTGTTATTATGAAAACATTGTCCCTCTCTGTCGACCCTGTTAATTCGACTTAAATGTCAAATGAAACCTCTTTCTTTCTTCCATCGAACTGCATATATGAGTATAACAAAATGTTGTTCTTTCCCTTTTTCTTTTAGACGAGACTTATATTTATATATATCATTTAAATGTTCATGAGTACCAAAGTTTACCTTTTTTCACTAATATTTAATAAGTTTTGATTAGAATGATCAAGCTTCTTCTTAAAACAAATAATATACTTGGAATCAACATAAAAAACGGAGTTGATTCAAACGTCGAACAATACGCTGAAACAATTTTATTTTCGTTCAAAAATTCACCTCTGGTCCTCTCAAGGTCATGTCCAAAAATAACGTTATGGTCACGCATTCTTGGAGAACATACATACTATCAAGTAAATTTAGTTTTCATCAATATCGTATCCATCAGAAGTTCTCAAAACACCTTTATTTCATTTTCGCATTCATATTTGACCATTTCGTATTGCTATTTGGAAAGCTACATCTAATAGACAAACACTTTATAAATAAGTGACGTGAATTTATTAGTTCGAAAGTTAACTTTTTTGATGATGATTAGGAACTTGAATCAAGGAGAGGTGTGCCATTTCATCCTATATAGATACCTCCATGGGATGTCGTCAGTCCCATCCAGCGACCACCTCCGAATCCATTGAAACTTTCAGAGTTTGTAGAGCTATTTGTGCTGATCATTTTGGTAATAAAACTTTTAAATTTAGACCCTATTTTCGAAAACAAATGAACTAAATACTATATATGCGTTTTTGTCTTTTTGCTATGAAAGTTGCATTCTCATCAAAATATCGATAAACTTTATGATTTTTCATTCAGATCCTAAAATCAATTACAGATTTGAATTCCTCGGAAAAAATTGCACCAGATTCATGATGAATTTGAATTTCTTTTCAAAGTTTGTTGATTGATTATATAACGTGCTTGAGAGCAAAACTATTTGAAAAAAGTCAGTCAGAAAGTCGGAATGCACGAAAATCGTGGCATTCTCAGATCAATAGAGCAGAATTTGTTCTACAACATGCACTAATTATTTTCCTCTCCAACTTTGATTTCAGAGGAAACAATTGTTGAAAAGTTTTCTATGTAAGTGTCTGTGATCTATAAGTCCACATATGTTAAGCTTGTTTCGTTGAATTGTTTGCTGGAAAACGTGTGTTATTTATACGATAATTCATAGTAAAGATTAGATATAGTAGCTACATGGTCATATTAAAACAAGATATTCAAGAAAGAAAAACAGATCATTGTTCATCCGATACATTTTAGATTACAATTGATTGAGCACCAGCTGAAGCCTTGAATGTATGGATGGTTATACCATTAGATTGTGAAGTGCGGCGATATGAAATAGATCCACTTCTATCGACATCGAATTGATGAATATCACGAATTCTCCAGAAATAGAATCCGAAAAAAGTCAATTTTGTCAAAACAATTTAGCACTAAAAAATTATACCTTTAGAAGAAAGTCGTTTTCATCGTTGTCGCAAATAATTTCATATTCGTTGCTGATGAGATCAGCGGATAGTCAACGAACTTTAATACGACGATTAGGTTCTGGGATTAGAGACGTTGCAGAAGTTGAAGCTCCGATACGACGACGTCTTGCTACCACCATGCGACCATTTTTTTCAAGGCACCATTTAAAAAATTGTAAACGAGACACTTGGCTCCCCTTTCAGTAAATGTTGTGTAGCGGTCGGTTTCACGACTGTCTCCATTCCGTCGCATGGACCTTTTTTGTGCTCTGTCACACTGAATATCCATGATGATGAGCCAAATTGTTCATATTATATTTATCTAATAGAAAAAAGAAATATTTCATGTAAATGTCAATTCGAAGTACCAAACACTTACTTTTGAAGTGTGCCGATGCTCCGTCACTCACATAATTGATATTGAAAATGTTGCGGTATTCTTTTCTAATATGATCGACAATGAATTTCTGTGCACAGTAAACACATATTGTATCATGCGCAAGATAGTCGGACATGAATACCGTGTTACGATGATCTTCACCAATTTTTATATAGACCGTGAAAATAGTAGCTTGTTGACGTGAGTAATATGCTGATTGAACTTCTCTCTGTGTAACGAAAGAAAAGTTTTACGCGAAGTCGATTTGAACAACAGCGAAGGTCGTAATGCTGCATTTTTCCTTAATCAATGCAACATAATCACGTTGTTCATTAGCGTAAAAACTGTGTGTAATAAGATTCGACCATAAGCCATCGATTTCTTCTAAAAGAGCCCAAAATGTACCAGTCAAATGAAGAAGTTCATAACGTGAATTAATTTTCTTCCAAATGGACCATGAAGCTGACTCTTGAATTTCAATATCTATATCATCAGACGACAACAATCAGCATATCGACGATATAATAACAATTTTCAGAAGGAGATGTACAAAAAGTTTGTTCCACTAATTTTTTTAGTGTCACGAGGCGATGGAGGGATTTTGATACGGTCTAAAATTTAGAAAGTAAATTGAATCATATTTCGTAATGAATTAGTTACCTGAAGAACTAAATTAGCATTCTCGTGATAGATGCACATACACGATTCGTGGTGTATTTCTTCTCTCACCCAAGTTGGTTGTAGTGAAAAGAACTTTGATCAACTTATTTCAATGTTAGGATATTTCAATTTAAATTGTTCAAATGTTTCTCCAATAGTTAAATGAAGAAAATGTAAAGGAACTAGATTTTTAGATGGCAATGGATGGATGACCTGCTTCTTACATGACTTTTCACGACTAATTTCGTCACTGATGTAGAAATTATGCACCACCAGCTGAATTTGACTATCAAGTGCTTTGTTTCGACGTTGATCTTCAGGATACGTGAAAACATCACGAGGTGTTCGTAGTTCAATTGATTGCCGAACCTGATGTTGCGAACCAGCAAACCAGTTAGCAATAAGATCGCCACCCCAAATTGGTGGTAACATAGTCATAAGTCACTGTTGTTCGTTGTTGTCACTAATATTAAACAATTCGCGTAAATGACTTAGAATCCAAACAGCACCATCAATTGAAAGACCAAGTGAATAAAACGTCTCAGGTTCTACATTACGGCGAGAAGATGTTACAAGTGTATTACTCCATTCTATGAGTTTAAAATATGTCTCGTCCACAGCATTTGAAATCTGGTTAGGGTTTCGACTGTAAAAAACGAATTTTATATTTTTTTCATTTTTAAAACAAATAACTTACAAATCATAGATTTTCTTCACATTTACAAATTGAAACACTTGATTCAATTTTCTTTGAATATGTTTTTGCTCGAGACGTACATAATCATGATCCATTGGAGAATTTTGTGGATACTCTGAATCACTATCAACGTTGTTATAGTCGAGACTTTCTTGACAATCATCAATATCCATACTTGTTGCCTCATCAATCATCGAACGATTTCCTTCTTTTTTGAAAAATGTTCAACATAGATAATCACCATTTGAATATCTTTTTGAATTTCTATCTAAAATCGATTCATTATGACCGTCAATATATTCGGCCAATTCATCGTTGATTGGTCGTTTTGCCTTTAGGATGTGATGGCTTAAGTTCAGCTTTCCAAAAGTCCTTTTTTCCACTTGGTAATACTTCATCATAACACGGATGAACACAGCAAATGCGAAATTTATGCGACATAGTTAAGAATGTGTTTGACATGTAAGAAAAAAAAGTATCATTACGATGAATATAGATCAGAATAGATGATTATGAATCATGGATATTCGTTCCCAAATCGGCGATTTTCACCAATCCAAAAGGACATCCACTTTTTATAATACAATTATTTAATCCTTTAATGTCCAATCCAATCAAAACTTGCCTCCATAAAAAATACTACTATGACCCACAATTATCTTTTTTGACAAACTTCATAGTAAAAGGAGTTAAGAATATGTTCACTTACAGATCACAGACACTTACATAGAAACCTTTTCAACAATTGTTTCCTCTGAAATCAGAGTTGAGAAGAAAATTAATTAGTGCATGTTGTAGAGCTAATTTGGCTCTATCGAATCGATCATGTCCATTTTTTTGGAGTATTTCATTTTTTCAATTTGTTTTAGGTCTTGTTACATTCACCAACGTTTGAATAGGTAACATACAGGATTCAAAAAGACATTACATGATTATTTAGATATTTACAATTTCATATATTTCATACAAATTTGAATGTAGTTTTTCATGCTTAGTCCGAATGCATTATTAGATTTCAGATATAAGCTAATACTAAGGCGTTATCACTTTCATTTTCAGGGAAAATGCAATTTTTTATGCATAATAACCATAAAGGCAAACTACATGTTTATAGTATTTCGCTTATATGTTCGTGAAATGAAGATTCAAATGCATATGTTCATAACATAATGAATTGAAACTTGGAAAAACAAAGAAGTAATTAAAAAATGAAAAGAGAACATATTTCCCGTTGAATATTTAAAGTTTCGAAATAGATGACTGCATTCTTCAAACAGATTGTTCATGTTTTGATTTGTAAAATAGCAAATGTTTTCTTGTATCTTATGAAGGTGGGGGATAGTTTTCGTAGAACAATACATACTAGAGAAGTAATTGAACAACATAGATCGAAAAAAACTTAAATCAGAACGAAGTATAAATGTATTTATGGATATCATGAGTACTGATTCTGCTTTATAATCTCTAAAATTTCTATTTTAGTCATCTACTCAATTGACTTGCCAAAACAAATTTAGTCTAATACTTTTGTCTCTTTCGATAAGTTGAATAAATAATGTCGTTCGGTCGATGACAAGGCTACTTGCATCATTAGTATCGATGGATTTTTAATTTTTGAACGATATAAAAGCGAAAATTCATCAAAATCCTTTAATAATTTACAAAGATTGCTGAATAAATTGAGTAGATGCGATGTTAATAGCACATCAATTTCGCGAAATCTAAACTATGCTGACAACTTAGAAGGAATAAGCAACGTTGTAGAAATTTCATAGAAGAACGAAAGACTTAATTTACACTTTGATTTGCAGTAATAAAACACTACGTACAATGAATTCCATTGCTCACATCTATGGATGATTTCTTACTCATACATACTTATAGTTCTCTGGTATTTACTCGAATCACGTTCCATCTTTTTTTCACAACTGCATAGTAGTACACTACATTATCAGAAAGGTGGCAGTTCTAGAAATTTTCATGAATAACTATGTTAATGAGCGGGACTGTTTTTCTATTTCCATATGCAGAACTTTCAATTAGTTTTTCTCATGTAACATGAAGTCCACGCGCTCCAATGAACCGAATTAAAAGCGAAATCGGCTCGTATTTTGTCAGCGATAGATTCACTAGTAATACCTTTTCATTTGGTTTGTTGCACAAGTATTTCTCCAGGAATCGGATTATTAATAACCCATTTTCGTAATTATTTACCATCAGAAGAACAAGTAACTGACAATATGAAAAGAAATTCAATTTTATTAGTCGATGAAGAATGAAAACGAGAGATTATTGCACATCACTAATGTAGTTCATAATGATTCTCTATATACGAAGCAATCATTAGTCATGTCTTATTTTTTTGAGAAACGAACAGGTTGCTATTGTTGAAGATAATGATATTTGTTTTAGTGTGGACACAATGTATTCTCGACTTTCTTTTTAACCAAATCATCGTGAAATATAGTTTCTATGTACATGCGCAAGTGAATAAGATCTGTTTTAATCATTAATTCCACAACAGTAGTAGCGTCTCGGAAGACTTACGTTAAAATATATCAGGGGTTGAATCAAGACAGTTCGAAATTGTCTATGAGATTCCTAGTAGTAATTGCTCAATTTTTAATCTGACTGGACTGGAAAACGTTCAAACATCGGTAAGACAAAACTTCTATCTCACCAGATATTCAAGATGAATACAATAACATCTGAAAGAAGACCCTATAACTGCAACATGTTTTGCTCATACGTAATACCATTTAGAATGAATTATGCTAGAATACCCTGTACATACAGAAACGATTCTGATAATGTGATGACATGTTCGAGTTCTAGACAACGATGAATGTCTCATTTTGCTGCGGATCATTTTTAAGGATTTATATCGATATTCATAATTTCAATACATCAATTCATATTCGATGAGAGAACCAACTAAAGTTGTCTCAAATGCTAAAAAAAGTTTCAATTGTTATTCTTTTGATAAATGGAGAGTCAGGAGAAGCTTTTCGTAGTATCCTACAATAAATATACAGAATGTCACTCTTCGTCGACTATGAGCATTTTATTATGATAGAACCGAAAAAATACTTATCAGATAAGTCAACGCAGAAATCAACCATTAAGTAAATATCACAAAGCTCAAAATACGTTACTCAGCCAACAAAAGTGCCGTTTGACCACATTCCCTCTTTGATTGTACCATTAGCATATGTCAATTTGCCTCTGCCATGTATTTTATCATCTTTCCATTGTCCCTCGTAACGATCACCATTAGCCCAAATGAAAACACCTTGACCTGTTCTTACGCCATCGATCCAATCGCCTTTGTACTTGCTGCTAGCTCCATTAGCATCTGTTGCCGAAACAAATGTACCTTTGCCATTTTTTTTGTCATCTTTAAATTGTCCCAATTGCTGTTCTTTTATGACATAAAAAGAATACTAACTGAAGATGAAGGGAAAAAGAACAGACTGACGAGTGATTTGTGAATATCTCAGCTCGTAACGATCACCATTAGCCCAAACGTAGACACCTTGACCTGTTCTTACGCCATCGATCCAATCGCCTGTGTACTTTCTGCTAGCTCCATTAGCATCTGGTGCCCAAACAAATGAACCTTTGCCATGTTCTTTGCCATCTTTCCATTGTCCCTCGTAACGATCACCATTAGCCCAAATGTAAACACCTTGGCCTGTTTTTACGTCATCGATCCAATCGCCTGTGTACTTTCTGCTAGCTCCATTAGCATCTGTTGCCGAAACAAATGTACCTTTGCCATTGTTTTTGCCATCTTTCCATTGTCCCTCGTAACGATCACCATTAGCCCAAATATAAACACCTTGGCCTGTTATTATGCCATCGACCCAATCACCTGTATATTTGCCGCCGTTCGCGAAGTCCATTTTTCCTTTACCTTGCCTTTTCCCTTCTTTCAATTCTCCTTCATATCTATTACCCCAGTCATCAATTAGAATTTGAATGTGTGGACACTGAACATTTACCGATGTAGGCATAGATTCAGTTTTTGAGGGAGATGTCACTGTCATTGCATGAAAAGAGGTTGTGAATTGGTCCTCGGTTTCATCAGTAACTTCTTGTAAATGGACTATATGCATGGGTGGTTGATCAAGAGGATCACTGACAACACGAAGTCGAGTGCCTGGACAAAGAATAACTTCACTCTCACTTGGAAAATTGGTGTACCGTGAAATATCTTTTCCATTCACAGCTTCAATCAAAAATAATGTTGAGTTGGACCCGAGAAAATCTTTAATGATATTAACTGAAGTTGAACATGAACTAATAGTCCACCAAGTGAATTCATCTCCTTTTTTAAAGTTCTTCGCTATATCTGTTGGAACACCACGCCATAGATTTTTTCGAACAGTAGGTAACTTTTGTACGCCTGTATCAAAAAGCTTAAGATAGCCAAACCATGGCTTTAATGATGATCGATCCTCAGCACGAAGAGCACGATTAATGACTTGGTATAAACTATTCTCACCACATTCCATTGTATAGAGAAAAACAGCAGCTGATTCATCTCGAGTAAGTCCATGCTCAGAAGGGAAGTGACATTCATTTTTAGCTATTTTACTAAAACGATCCAGTTGATTGATCTGAGACGAGATAGGTTCGAGAGCTTTCTGTAGAGGTAATAGTTGATGCGCTAAGTATCCGTAGACTGGTGTAAGTCGTTTCGGAGTCGATTCTATATCAGTAAAACGATGCATATTTCAAATAAAAACGATTAACGTGGTACAGTTACTTCAACAGTGAAAATACAACAGTGAAAACACGTGCTTCTTATGTTGTTGATAACCGGAAAGATTTGAAAGTGAGTTGGTTATCACTATCGTCTCGCTTCTTATAGTCCCAATTTCTTTCATTCTGTGAAAGAAAAAGAAAAGCTTTTTGTGGCGTGTTTTGTAGTATGTTTGCATATCTCGCTTGCGACATAGTCGTCCGCGAACGAGATTTCTTCAAGAGAGCAGTAAGAGGTAGAGAAGAGTTATGTTGGATAGAATTTTTTGCTCTCCATCATACTAAGTGACAACGCAGTTGATGAATTGGAGATTTTTTTTCTAGCTTTAAATAACACAAATATATGAAAAACATGACTCATCAAATGTATACGATTTACACGATTTTTTGGATTAAAAAATATTTAATTCTATTGGTTAATTGGATACAACTAAGTAACATGCTATAGTTCAACAGTATCAAGTACTACGTTCCACGTCTATGGTAAAGTATTACAAAAGTATACTTTGTTTTTAGCTCTTCATATTGTTAATCTTACAAAAACTATTGACTCTCATCAAATATTCTCAATAAAGCATGAATATTTATAACAGTGATTTGAAAATCATTTTTGTAATTGATCTTCAATTATTATAATGAATCGATCAGATTATTACAACACAAAAATAAGTCGTCGTCAGACAACATGATGAAATTAAGAATCAGTTTGTCCAAATCACATAAATATGGCACATAATTCCTAAATATGTTATTGAATGGTTTGATGTTTGACTTATGTGACGAAATCATATTACAAATTAAAAGTGACTCGAATCTAATTGTTTTATCATTGTCAACTATCCGAAATATTTCTGATTATAGATGAGTCTCTCACAATATTACAAGATTAGATTTATTTTTCTGAAAGAACATTTTTTTCAAATATCCACTTTCAAAGTCATCATGGAAACTGTTTTTTTTATTGTTCTATGAAATCAAATTATCCTCTTTTAGATATATAGAAGTAAAAACAAAAAAGAGATGAATGTGTTGAGAAGCTTTTTCTGCTCTTTCCGATTCGTCTCAACAATTTTATTGACCCCTTCGTTTTTTCACCTTTTCTCTGTATATTAATATCAACCTGCTTTTTGCATGAAAAAAATAATGATAGTTTTTCAGAATATACAGACATTAATTTTTTTCAGAGTTCCATAACCCTGGTTTAATAAACGTCAAACCATAAGAATCATTTGTAATCGCATGAAATGTCACAACGAGAAAGTCTAGAACGAGTATAAACAATATTTCAAAAATAAAGTTCTTGTAATTCGATCTTATGAACCTTGAAAAACAATTATGGATTAATCATTTTATAATCACACGAACAATTGCTGTAACAACGCACTGATGCTAACTTTAACAAATAAAAAAAGCAATGGATAAGATCAGCAACAGCCATGTGAAGTTATTATAAAAAGAACGAAAGAACAAAAACCATATTTTCTTGAAAGAAGTTTTAAAAAAAGCGCATCATTACATTTTGCAATGCTTGATGCAGAGACAAAAGAGCTGCTGTCTAATACATGTTGTAATAATGATTAGATTACATTTAAAGAAAATTCGGTTATTTCATCGATCGATATTCCACTAGACGATCAAGAAAACACTGTTTTTACATATAGCAAACACATCATGATCATTTAGATATCAGCCGATGACTGTTGGGCTACTATGCAAGTCGAACAATTTTGAATAATAAATGAAAAACTTCTTGAGAGATGAATTCTAATGAAACAATTCAGAAAACTTTTCACATAGTTTTTTGAGCTCCGCCGAATGCCACTGAAAATCATTATCTAGCCAACAAATTTAAATTAGAATTGATTAAATGGCTTGACTCGCACTTTCATGCTTCTCGAATTTCAAATGAAAATCATCAGCATATAAAATAATGCACCACCACGGTACCATTGAAGAAATCGTTCCAAGAAATTGATTTTCCTGCTGATTGAACATGAACTAATGTGTAAAATCTACTACAATATGCTACCAATGAAAACAATCTATTATTGCTAGCTAAAGATTATGCAGTTTCTCCAGGTTTATGTGCACGATTAAACACTGATTTAGCTAAGCAAAGATCGGATCTTTGTTTTGTAAGAAAACACTTACATTTTCGGCAAAGTACTTATTTCAGGTATTTTGTTGATTTTTTATTACAAGCGCCTTATAACAAAAATAATCAACGACTAATTCTTAATAGACGATAATTATTGTCAATATTTTTTTTATAATAGCCGCCTCGTAACATGAAAATGAACAACAATTAATTTTTAATAAAAAATGATTTCTTTTCAATACCAAATTTATTACACATCAAAATACTTGGTAGAATTTATTTAAAGTGACACTTATTAATATCTAAAATATGATTTAACATTCGATTTAAATAAACCTCGCTCTTCAGTTGTTCTAACTTGTGCTTTGATCGTAAAGCTGATCGAATTTCTGATCAAATGCAAAAGACATATCAACATATATTACTACGATACCCCTATTTAAGTACGTCAATGCATTTCTAAAATAATGCTGTCGCTCGATCGTTTAATTATTTATGCAATTTATTATGATATCATTAAGTATCATGCATTTTACCATCTCCGTAAAAAAAATTGGTTCTAGATCATATTACTTATTTACTATAATTATTGAGAATATCCAAGATTCAAAAAAAATGTTGTTTTTAAAAACTAAACTTAACTAAATGAAACACGTTGTGACGTACCAGATTATGTTTAAGTCATTTCGAATATCAAAAAATTATTTTCAAGTTAAACGAATATTTCTGATTTTTTAAATATATCTGTCATTTTAAAGTTATTACTTTTAAGCCTTAGATTTTCTGATATTATTGAACACTTATCAATTAAAGAAACACAAGCATACATTTAATATAAAACATGCATTGAATTAATATACCTTCTTAAGTCCAAATTCAAACTGATGAAAATGTTGAATGTAAGTAGTTGTACAAGGAAATTTTCCAAAACTCACAATAGATTAAAGTGACTTTTTTAAAATAACTGCTCATACCTTGGCTTTTGCAAAAAAACATCTTTAATAACCTTAATGTCACGATTTATTTAGCCATTACATTTTGATTTTATTATAAAAAGATTCATGAACGAACAATTAATCTACGATATTTAATATGAGTTTCTTCTTCTTCAGAAAAAAAACAATCGAAGTGTTCTGAATGCATTACAAATTGAGCTTAATTATAAATATGATTGAGCATCTAATAAACTACTTATACGTACAGTACACATCATATTTATATTATCATTTACCCAAGTTGGAAATAATTTCAAAAAGACTAATTAAATAAAATGTCAATAAAGAAATATCGTGTCCATGTCCTGCGTGTTGCTCTAATAATCCACCAACGGAGCACGATAGCACTAAAAAAATCGTCCTACCAAAAAAAAATAATATCTAATCCTCGCCATTAACTTAACTTGTGACATTCTGTCATTCAGAAGTTTTTATGTAGCAATTTGTTACAACCAAAAACCTCGAATATCTTTTATGACGATATCAACTTGCTGTCAGAACGATAAAAAAGAGTTCATAATAAAGCTTTTGTTAGAAAATAAGAATTATCTTATCTTTAAAGTTCATTAGTTATAAATCAAAAGCTTTCTGTATCAAAAGGGTTGTTAATTTATAAATAATCACTCAACTTTGATGTTAGGAAAAAAAATGGTTTGTAGTACGTTTGAGACAACATTGATTAATATAAACGATATCAATTTATTCTAGATTTCTTCTTGTTATTGCTAAATGTTCAATTTTATTATCAAATAAAATAAATGTTCTCAGATTTCTTTTATCTCATATACCTAAATTATTATTATCATTTCATCATTTCTTGAGCATTTTCAAAGAAGTACAGCATGCTCAATTATCACTAAATATTAATTTAGAAAAAAAAAGCTGGAATATTATTACATTTAAAAATTGAATGTTTTATAAACTATTTTTTTTTTAATTTTTTTTATCTACAATTGTAGGACTCTTAATGACGCAATTTGTTTTGTCTTATATTCAGTATACGTAAGTAATATGATTATCTATTTTTGTCGAATTCATGATCACATTTTCTCAATGTATAGAAGAAAAAACGATAGACATTCGAAATCTATCTTATACATGAGAACGAAAATCATTACTAATCTTAGAATAGCATTTCACTTTGAAAACTTTATCTTCGAGAGGGAAGACCAACTATAGAATAATAATTTAAACTTCGCACAAGAAATATTTCATTACTAATTATTGAATAAATTTTACTTAAAAATTCTCACGTTAGATAAGCAAAATTAATTTTGGAGCTGTGAATCAAAATACAAGTTTAATAGTTACATGGTTAACAACTTTAGGATAATTCTTTTAGTTGACTATTCTAACTTTTACAAATGAAAAGAAAACTATGGAGATGTGAGTTCATGTTCAGAAAAAAGCTTCACTAATATTAAAATAATTTTCTTCTTCGATATCCTAATTATAGCGATGAAAAACAAATTATGGCGATGAAAACAAAAAAAATATCAAATCTGTTTCATACTTATTAAGGCTTTGCTTAGTGATCATGAATCTGATACAAAAATAATTATGCGTAGTTATTTGTAAACAACTTATCTCTGAAAAAAAAACAATTATATTTAAATAATAAATATATTTGTGAATAACTATTTGTTTTTTGATATAACTTAAACGATAAAGTACCTGAAATGAGACTGAACCAACCAAAGATTTCGACCAGTATATCTATGTTGCTCTTCTTATCAATAATTCAGTTTTTCGACATTATCAACACATTTCAGCTTCATTTCTTACCATAACTATTACTTCACAGAATCTTGAAGCATATGAAATGGACAAAAAATTATCGTCTATCGGCTATCTGTATTTATAATGTTTCTAATCCTCAATGAAATAACAACAGAGAGAGAAGTGCCAATGAAGAAACAAAAAATTGAACATCTGGTACGAAAAATCGAATTAAGGGAGTCTAGACCAAATTCAAGGCGAAGTACAGACCATACATAGTAATATTTGTACATCATTTGTTTGCTTTATTGTTTTGATAGATTTAGTCTTTCATGTGAAAGAAAATCTTCTAATAGTTTAAAACATAAGAAAAGATAAGAACAAGTTCAGTCATAATAGTAATAATACTTAAAACGCTGAATTTAAGCCATTTTTCATATGAATTATAACATTCGATCTTGATACTATACATACAATTCATTGCATTATGAAAAACACATATTACCGGTTTTCCGCTATGTTTAAACAAGATAAGCTCAATGTAGAGTAATCTTAAGTGTTCACGAATTAGATATGGATTAAATAGTTCAGAAAACTGCGAACATATCACTGGCCAACTAGAATAATGCGCTGCTAAAAAAAGCTCCATATACAACGAATGTAGTGTAGCATTATATTGATAATAATATGAATAATTAAATAAATGACAACGTGGACAAATATGAGTTTCTTGACAAGAAAAAACTGACATTAAATCGTAGGCATACCTGATGTTTTCTAAAGATTCTTTTAATAATCTTTGAAGAAGGATTCCATCGTTATCAATAACCTAGCTGCGATAAAAATTTGAGCCGAATCGGTTGTAGTCTCGTGAAGAACCAGAAGTGGTCCAAAACAGAGAATGTGCCCTTAAAGGTGATCGATAGTTAATAGATCATTTTTTTTAATTTTCTTTTTTCATGTTCAACAGACATCTATCGGTCATCATTCGATAACTGATAATTCTGCTGCTGCCTTCTATCCTTGCTCTTTCAATAACCATTATTATTTGTCGATCGATTGATTGTTCTAAAATTTCTTTACGATATTCATTCATTGTATATTGTCGTTATGCTCTTTTTTTTATCTCTTCGAACATCAATACTAATCCTAATTCATTCATTCTCTTCTTTATATATCCTCAAAACTATCAAATGAGTATTTTATTTTTCTATGAATTAAGAACAATTTATAATATTTTATCACGAATCATCAATAATTCTTTTATGACATATCCATGTCAATTACTATTGAGTTTTCTTTTTATAATAAGATTTAACTGAAACAGTTGAAGTAAAGCAATAGGAGAACAATCATGAGCTTTTGATTACTATCATATTATTCTTTATATGTAACGTAAGATTTTAAATATGTATAACCTGAAAAGAAAATGTTAACTATTTCGTAATATTTAAATCTTTGATTGTAAACGAATTCGTTACTTGAAATATAAATCTATCATTTGTTAATATGTAATCATTTATTTCGTGTTTTTCTACGGAGTAAAAGGATTTCATTATTGATCTCATTATTTAAGTAACAAACTATTGATTGAACATTACCAAAAGTACACGTAGTCAATAATTACATTTTACATTCTAATTGTTGATGCACGTTCCTATTCTTTCAACATTGATATCATCAAAGTTTCTTTTGCCTTGAATCATATGTCTAGACAAGAAAATGATTGAAAGAAATACAAAAAACAAGAAAACAAAATTGAAGTTTTAATATGCTATTTATATTTTTTATAAATTCATACTGAGATTATCGTTCAATCTTCAATCAGCTGATAATTGTTTTGTTTTTGAAAAAAAAAAGAATTCTCTTTTGTACAATTCATATGATTATTTACTCAAGCGTTAATAGTGAGAACAAGAACATCAATAATAAAAAAACAAAATCATATATAAATGAATGAGAAAGAACGAAAGAATAAAGACTATATAGTAGTAGAGATCTAGTTCTTTTTTTCTTCTTCATGTAGGATTAATCTATACATTGATGGTGATCTTTTTTGTCTATGACATGTTCTTTTTACTTGCCTCATTGTTTTGTTAAACATGCCGCCGTCGTCGCGTCATTTCTCTGTCAAAGTTTGTTTCAAGAAAACATATGCAAGTATTAAATATATTGAACTAAAGACAAAAGTCAATTCATTAATTTTGACCTAATTACAAGTCGACGACCTAGAAATAATATCAAATAGAAATCGTCGAACACTTGTCATTACATTTCGCCTATCTTAACAGACGATTCATACGCAATAAATTATCATTGTTCACATTAATAAGAAAAAAAAATACAAAAAATTCTTTTCATCTATTATATTTTATACGTCGGTATGATGATTAGACAAATTATTCTAGTTAATAATTCGTAATATTATATAACAGACAGTATTCAAATAAATAAATGACGAATTTCTATATAATATTTCTTTTTGTATTTATCTTTTTTATTCAACAATCAATAACACAAAATCCACCCGTTGTACCATTGACAAGTAAATTAAATGGAATCTAAACTTATATCTTTATGAATATTTTTCTATGTTTATTTATTTTTTTGTTAATAGATGCTTTAACAGCAATTTATTGTCATAATTCTCATGAAGCCGGTATACTGACAATACATTGTCGACCAAATGAAAAAATTCGTATGTTAGATGCATTTGATGTTGTTGTCAAAAATAAATCACGTTTACCATTACAATGTTTAAAACAAAAACATTTTTCAATGGTTTATGGCGATAATTCTAATCATGATGATTGCAAAGTTCATACAAGTTTTACATCAGCTTGTTCAGGACGTGAAAATTGTACATTACATATGCAACCTATACGATTAAATAGTGTTAATAAGAATTGTCACAACGAACTAGTTGATTATACAATGGCTTTTTTTGAATGTATATCAGGTAGGAAATTTGACCTTCAGAATGTCATAACTTAGCAAGTTAAGGCGAGAAAGAATTTTACTACCTATTTAAGTTAGATACTTTACATAGTGAAATATAATCAAAAATACGTTGTTCTTACAAAAAATTGGCCATTAGTACAATATTTAAGATGATTTCTATTCTATATAGATGCATTTATTCATGATGTATGTTCATCACAAACAATCACTTCTTCTTGGGGTACATTGAAAACACCAAATTTTCCAAATCCTTATACACCAAATGATGATTGTTGGTGTAAATTATCAACACAATTACAATATCGTCTTTTACTTTCTGTTATTATTTTTCAATTGATTCCTTATGATCGTTCGTATTTGATTTAATAAGAAAATAAAAATATTCGTATTAAAACCTTTTTTTTTCTCTAGAAAAATGTATTGGTACTGGACTTTATTTACAAAGTAGTGATGAACAACGAAGTACTCAATGTACTTATTTACAACAAGGACATAATTATTTAAGTGATACTAATTTATTATATCTCAATTTTTATAGTCGGACACCAACTGTACGTGGAGGATTTTGGATTATTTATGAAGGTAAACATTTTTTTTTTTAATAAATTTATTTGTCTCAATAGCTATCAAGACTTTTTTGTTATCATTAAAGCAAGTCATCCTAATGCTGAAGTTCATTTACATTGTGGACCAAGAGAAAAAATTGGTGTTCCATCAGGAACAACATCATTATCAACATCTATAAAACCACCACCAATTTCATCATCGCATGATTATGGTTGGAGTCGTTTAGCATTTAATAATCCACCGAATCCAACAGCAACAGCACCAATCACTGATCTCATAATGGATATGCATTTATTATTTACTACACCTCGTCCACATCGTAATACAAATTTTAGTAAGTGTTATATTCTAATCTCAAATGAAGATAAATATATATATACATATACTTCACAATCCATAAAGATTGAGGATCTTCGTATTTTCTCATTATCTTCTCTAGTTTTTATAGATTCGGCCTGGCGTTTTTCTTAAAAAATTGAGCATTTAATTCTCAATAAAATAATATATCAATGAATGCCACAGTGATAAAATTTCTGAAGCTTTTATTGCTGTGCGATACATTTGTGTATAGTTTTGTCGAGAATGAAATGCTGAGGCTATTGAAAAAAAAGATTCAGTTCGAATGTATGACAACTTCGTCGAAAAGATACTGAGAAAATATGAAAATTCTTATTTTTTCATGGATCACCTGAATGTAAAATAATAAAAGATTTTTCTACATGCTTTATTATTTTAGAAGTAAATCCATCAACAGCGACAGCAGCTAGTGCATTTACATACCCATATGGTCATTTAACAACATTTGAATTAGCTTATGGACCACAAGGATGGTTTCTTAGATCTCCATTTATTTCATCAAATAAGTCAGCAACTAAAGTTTTACATACAACAACATCTCAATTACCAATCGTGAAATGGAATTCTACTTGGCGTTATACTCGAAGACCATGGACAAGAATTTCCACAACAGTAACAAGTTCTACTTTTAAAACTACAACGACAACTACAACTACTTCTACTACTACGCCTACAATACAAACAACAACAACATTAAGTAAATATTTTAGATTAAAATTATGTAGTATAAAAAACAACGATATTAATAATAAATATTTAATTTCTAGAAACGACCACCAGGACGACACGTTTAAGTACTTCTACAATTAAAACTACTGAACAAAGCACTATTCCTTTATCATCAACAACAAAGTCTATGTCTACAGCTGCAAGTACTAGTGTTCAACAACGTTTATTATTTACTCACAATCCATGGATATATTATAGCCCTAAAACTGCTGCATCTTCAACAACAACAACAACAGCAAAACCAAAGATGCCATCAACAATGCAATTACCAGTATCATCATTTATGTTAAAACCTAATTTACCTTCACCAACTCCTTGGTATCCGCCAGCCGGTCCATTTGATTGGTGGCAATGGCAAAGATATACAACAAAATTTAAAACAGTATCGTTAAGAATTCTTACTACTACTGAAGAGTCAACATCTTCTACACGAACTACAACAACAACAACAACAACAACAACAACAACTACAACTACTACTACTACAATAACAACAACTACAACAACAACAACAACTACTACTACAATAATAACAACTACAACAGCAACCACTATAAAAAGTACGATTAATCTGAGTAATACAACAGGTAGAAAAACTATCACTCGCAGAAATGATGTAACTGCTGATTGGTTTAAATGGCCATATATTGAATCGACTTCCTCATTGATACCAAGACGACCTGATTATTATGAAGAAGAATATATGGAATGGCCTGATTATTTTCTTACTAGTAAAATACAAACTGCAATAACACCGAACTCTTTCGCATCTTTTTCACCGAAACAAACACGACAACAATATCAACAAATGACTCCTTTTTCGATAAAACCAAATTGGCAATATGATAATCGTCTTGTGTCAATTAATACACCTTCATCGAAAGACTATTATGCACAAAACAATGCAGGTGGAATTGAAGAAAGACACACGACAAGAATTCAACAAAATGGTAAGATTTAGTTATTGGAGTATCAAAATCATTAAATAAGAAAAAAGATAGATCTTCATTGAGTATATCGTTACATTTAAAACAAATCGTAATGATCAATAATAATATGAACACTCTATTACTAATCAGAGAAATATTCTCATTGAGGACTGTTTCTGTACAAACTTGCATCGTATCTGAACACTTAGCAGTACGAATCCTTTTCTCATAGTAAACTATAACTCAATTCGAATTTAGGAGTAACCAATGCTTATGCTCAAAACATCATTGGACATCTTAGTGAACAACCAAATAACAAAAGTTCTGACGAAAATGAATGGTTAAATAAAACAGGTATATCAAACAACATGAAAAAAAAGTTTTCTTTTTTTTTGTATGACAATATTTATGATTAGATATAACGATTGTTGCTATTTCGATGTTATTTGTGATTTTATTATTTATTATAAATACGATTTTATATGCTGTTCGAAGGTGAGAAGAAAAAAACTAGTTTAATTAAAATGAATATTCATTAAAAGAGGTTTTTCTAGATATCGTCACCGACTACAAAATCGACGTTTACTTAGTGCATCAACTCCATCATTATTAACTGGTAGTAGAACTGTTCTAAATGGTAATTTACAACGTACGCAGTTTGGCGATTCAACAAGTAGTATAATTAATGCGACTAATAACAATAATAATGATATTTTACCAGCAGTTGGTAAATGTATAATTTTCAAATATAAGTTTGTAAAAAATTTTTAATATTATAATTTAGGTGAAATAGTTATATGGGACGAAAAAGATCAAGGTGGTTATATGATTGGTAATCATGGTGAATGGGCAAAAATTCAAGGACGTCAATGGTTTCGTAGTGGTTTGTTAAAAAGTTGTAGCAAGTCATCATTTTCAAAAAGGTTCATATCATATTTTAATTTTTCCATATATATCCTATGATTATCTTTTGTTAGCAAAAAAAAATCGAAAATTTCTTTGACTAAAATATTTAAATCTTATATATTACATTTTTCATGAATAGTTTTCGGTCACGTTTTCAATTTTCTCGTCAATCGAATAAAAAAATGAATGATCATCATCAACAAGCACCAATACCAAATCCAACACAACAACAACAACAACAACAACAACAACAACAAACATTCAAATATCCTCTTCTTTTAGATAGTTAGTACTAAAAAAACAAAATTAAATAATCTAATTCAAAAATTTATTTTTAGCTGCTACACTTGCACCTGTACCTGAAGTTGATGATTATCAATCATCTGCATTAAGTTCATCAGATGTTATGATGCGAAGTTCAGAAGCAATACATACTAATTCTAATAAAAATTCTCAACAAGTAAATTAAACTCATATTTATTAAATTTCATTTTTTTTTGTTTTGGTTTTTTAAATTCTTAGACAACAAAGACAATTCAGGCATTAATACATGCAGAACAAGATCACAGTGATGAATATTATAAACGAATTGAATTTGGTGCAGATGAATCAAATTATTCAACAATGAATGGACATGTCCAAGGAGAGTATTCTATACTTGATCAACAAATTGATCGAAGTTTAGGAAATGAAACTGATGCCGGAGGATCAATCATTATTAGTGTACCCACAATGTTCAGACGAGACGAAAATGCTGCTATAACAACCGACGGTGCTGATTCTAGTTATGATAAAACTTATTCAATTCAACCTCATATGAAAGTAAGATGCCTACAATTCACAATTTGAGCAACACCGTTTTTGGTGTCTTTTTGTCATGATTGAATAGAACTTGTCGAATTACCTATAATATTAGTGAGAGAGTCTAAGCACCAATATTCGACAAAAACTTATTTTAAACATTGAATATACTACTTGATGAAGATCTTTCTGTTGATTCTGAATAGAAACTCGTATTGATGACATTTTGTTATCATGTCGAATCACGCATAAGTTTTTCTTAACTATATGACAAGTTAAAGGTGTAAATCGCCGAGCTTTATCCAACCATGGAGAAAAAAAAATTAACGATTCTAGTTTTTTTAAGAATATAAATATAACTACACGACCAAATTATCTTCAACCAAACAATACAACTCAAATGACTACTAAACAACCAACTAGAACATGTAAACCTTCTACAAATAATTCAATAATTGTTGGCCATTGTCAAACAGGTTTTCAAGCACTTGATCCAAAAATATTAATTAAATCAACAGATAAATCATTATTAGCTGAACATCAGCAATTCTATAGTTGTTCACAATCTTTTCAATTATCACCATATGATTCAGGATTTTTCGATGATCAAACAAGTGATAGTTTAACAACGCCAACAACAACAACATATATGATTACTAATGAATTAAAATATAATTTAGGCAAAAGTGAAAAAAAAGAATGTAAAAATATCGATGATATATTTATCAATGTAAGTGAAGATAATGAGGATAGTGTATTATCAATGAATGATTTGTCGTCAAAAGATCTACAAAAATCAAATCGACAAAAACAACGACATATTATTAAACATGTTTCATTTCAGAGTTAAACATTCATCTTTGTTTTTTACTTGTTAAACAATTAATCTTTAAAAAAAAAATAACTTTTAAAATATACTTTCAATATAATATGTAAGATAAACGTTCTGAATTTGATGGCTGTGTACGATAGGAAAAGAAAATCCACTCTACAAGACTAGAACAAGATATGTATTTCTTTTATAGTCTCATTTGACAGTGATACGAAAAAGCACCAAAAATAAAATGTCTAGTCGTTCGAAATATAAATAAGTGAACTTACATAAATTTCTGAAAGAGAACTGAATTATGTGAAATGAACAGTACGACTGTTATATACAATCGTAAATAATAAAAATACGACGATCTTATTTTTTTATATTATTTTTTGGCGCATACTTATTGTTTAAGATCATGTACGAATAGCACTCATATACCACTTTTCATATGTGAACTTGAGAATATCAAACTGAGTAAATTCAGTTGAATACATAGTAAATATTTGTTGTTTGAAAAAATAATAATAATCTTTTGTCACTTTTTTCCCGTTAATGCGCACAAAAATAAATTATCGAAAATCTAAAATATCGTATGTTACATCTAGTATTATTCACAATTGAAAAATCTAAGAAAAACAAACTGGTTTTTTTCAATCTTAAACAAAAGTGCATCCATTAGTAGGCTTCATCATCTTGATTCAAGGTAGAATTCAATTTTTTCTTTAAAAAAAAATTTTTTTTCTATTGAACTGATCATTCAACATATTTTGTTTTGTTTTGTGCATTTTCACTCTCAAGACTTTTATTGTAGATTCTTTAAAATAAATAGACAGAATTTCTGATCCATTGCATACGTGAATATGACATATGTTGAATGTCAATAGCTTTAAAAACCAGTATCGATAGACATTTACTCAATCTTTTCCACTAGATATATTTAAATAAATTTTTTTTTTGATTTCTAATAAAAATGTTTCTCTTCAAAGAACACACTATATGTATCTATACATGCGTATACTAATACTAATACCGTCAAGCACACGACCAAGCAAAACGTCCTGATGATACCGGACCATCTTTTATCACATTGTGTAGTTCTTTATCAAGTGTTGATTGTTTTAAACCTATTTTGAGTCGATGTTCACATAGATAAAGAAGAGTTTCCGATGGTCCCCATACAGGTTGCCCAATAAGAAAATCATGCATTTTTAATGTAGCCAATAATGAAACAAGTGTTCGATCATCGAATCCATACAATCCATCGAATTGAACACGTATTTGACAAAGAGATACAGTTGTTTCGTCATCATTAGTTTCACCTGCATCTTATAAAATTTATAAAAGAAAAAGAAGACTTAATTATTTCTTCTATTTCTAAAAATGTTCACTCGTTAAATCAATTTATCACGGATTAAAAATCTCTTATATGAATCCTTCTATGCAGTGTAGGAATAGTACACTGTAGTCAACATCAGGTACAATATTATTATCATTTTTTTTCCTCCTGTAATATCGATGCAGCGCTTACAATATAATTTTTCTTCTCTAAAAATATAATTAATGCAAAGATCAAATGTTAATTCTACTAGAAAGATTCGAAAAAAATAGAACGACTTCAGAATATATAATACTTACTGTTTGTTAACGAATACAAAAGTAATAGAATTAATATTATAATACTGACAACTATCGTTTTGTACGGTAGTTGTGATATTTTAGTTATCTCCATTTGATTTTTGTGCAAATGAAAATTTGAATCAGAGTAATACAAGCTTCTCTTTTTTGCTTGTATTATCGAGTAGTCGACTTTGTCGTAATAAGATGTGTTTTCGTTGTTATTTGCTGAGAAGAAGGAGAACTTCACGAACGCTGCTTCTCTTATGCAAAAATAAAAGTGTAATGCATAAACAATTTTTTTTTGGTCGCTCCTTTCTCTCTCTCTTTCATTCTTCTTTTTCTATGCAATGCTCTTTATTCGCTATTCGATTTTATAGTATAAATTAATCTTTAAAATTTATATACTATCATAGCCACCGTTAAAAACGTTTACGACTCATTGATTATCTGTTTTCTTTTCATCAAATGCAAATTTTTTGAGACCATCATATAGGAATATAATTTGAATACAGAGGATGCAGTTTAAAAATAGAATGAAAGAATAAAGATCAAATTTAATATTGTCAGAATGAAAATAGGAGAGAATAAAGTAGTACTTCAGTGCCGAAATAATAGAGACTGTATAATCATCAATATCTGAGTTTTTGTTCAACTAATTACTTGCGTTCATTATAAATGTTAAACAACTGACTTCTATCTTCAGCTATTTCTGTTTTCTTCTTGTTCATAACATATGTTGATTTGAGAACAAACGAAAGTTTTAAGTGTGATGCAATTGCTTCGTGAGCTGGCAAAGAAACAAAAATAAACAGAAGAAGGCGAGTGAGTAACTATCTTCATGATGCAGATGAATGCAACTGCTGTTACAATCCTATACGGAGACAAAAAAAATTAGAAAAACTGAAAATTGGTAATTTCAAATCAAATTTTATTCATTTTACGACATTTCGATAACATTAAGTTCATTTTGAAGTATGTGTGTGCCTCTAGTTATCTAATTATAATAAATATTTTATTTTAGCATACTACAGACTGGTCTAACAATCAATATATCGTTTTGATTATTTTGTGTTCTTATTCTCAAGTTAAAATAATACTAACTGATGAAAATATTGTAAAATGAATAAAATTTGAATTAAAATGTATTTTTATGATTTTTAATTTCATTTTATTCTAATTTGTTCATTTATATAAATTATGTTATAGATATGTCCTTAGTCTAGATAACTTATGAATTTTGTAACAGTTCAAAGATGACAACACATTGATCGTGCTATTGAATAATGGGATATTTTCCTATGAAAATGTGACTAACCACGACGTATTCTTTACATAAAACAAAATGGGTTGGTTTATTTTTGTCTATTTTATGTTGATTACCTTTATCTGTTTTTTTTTTTGCGTTTATCATAAATCTGTTTGACAACTACGTCACTAGATAAATAATGAATGAATGTGGGAATTTGTCCACATATTAGATAATGGCCCAGTCAACAAAATCATGACAGCAGAAGTGAAATATATAAATTGCAGAGAATCTTGCCTAACATAACCAATTTTTTCTATTACTTTATCTTGGACACAAAAAGCAATATTACAAGTAACTTGTAAGAAAAAAATAAAAGCATAGTAAATTTTTTTCTTTACATTTAATGCAACATTTATAGACGATACGGTAGTTATGAAGCTGACTTGGACTTCTTATCTATTAGCGATCATCATCATTGCCAGTTTCATTACACCATCGATTTGTTTCGATGTTGGACGTTTGAAGGAACTTATAATAAATAAGCAAGGTAAGAAAAGTGATGTCACTCGAATTCAAATAAGAATAAAATGCTCATTGTGATAGGTACCTTTTAATCTGTTGAGAATAGCGAATCTAATTTTTATTGAAATCGAAAAATTGAATAGATTCTGTGTAAGAACAATATTCTTCGGGAGAGGTGCACATCTTTCGTACAATAGTAGGATGACTAACAAGACCTTTAGAAGTATCGTTGCAAATAAACTCATTTAGAAAATTTACTTATTCGTTTATGCAATAAGGTAATATGATTAACTAATATGCTTATTCGTTTGATAAGTATTATACAAACATCACTTGTAGAGTGAAATTTTCCTTAGTTAAGTTTTTGATACACTTAGACTTTCAAAATTAGTCGACTGTTTTTTCGATGGATATTTAGTTCTAATCCCGTAACCGTTTCGAGCAGGATTGTTTCTCAGTCACTATTGTGATTGCTTCTCCCTTATTAAATTTCATGACTAGTCGAACTATAGTCTAGATAATGTTCAAGAAATTTCTCATTAGACAGTCAATGTTTCTATCCTAAAGAATTTGTGAAATTCCAATCATTCGTATAGATCCAGGATTGAAGCATAATAAAACAATTCGACATAGAAATGGTTCCATGCATCGACTCTTCAATCCGAATATACAAACTAGTGCAAGTGCATCGTCTACATCTAATATTTATTATGCTTATGGTGGTCATGTATTAACTGAAGCTACCAAAGTTTATATATTGGTGAGTATTTTCACGTCATTTGTTAATTCTTTGTTCAGCTGAATCTTTTTATGTACAGTTTTATGGTGGTTGGACTAATACTCAAATAAATATTATCAACACATTAATTTCGACAATTGGAAATACAGCATGGTTCAACATCGAAAAGGCCTACTACTATCAAGCCACGTCCACAAGTTCCAAAATATACACAAATGGTCCACTCACTCTCGGAGGTGCATGGACATTGCCCTACTTTTATGGAACTTCACTTGAGGGTACGGATATACCAGATGCATTATCTTATTATGTTACATATGGACAACTACCAGATGATCCAAACAGTATATACTTATGACTAAGCTCTGCGGATGTGTCCGAAAGCAATTCAGTATTTGGTGGGTCTTTCCTTTCCGACTATTGTGGATATCATTACACATTCCTTGTTGGATCTACATCATATTCCTATGGATTTATAGGAAATTCTGGAATGTTCATTAGAAATGGTTGCGATTCCAGTTCCTATAATCCGACTGTATCACCTAATGGTGACCTCGGTGTTGACGCCATGGTGAGTAGCATCGTACATGAAATAGTAGAGTCGATGTCTGATACATGGTTGAATGCATGGAGTAATTCGGATGGTAATAAGAATGCAGATAAATGGTAAGTACAAAAGTAAGGCACTCTCTATGAGATGTAAAATATATTTTTCTAGTACTTTTGTTTCAAGAAAAAGTCAGTAAAAAAATTTCTTCTGGTGATAACTTCTTTCATGCGTTTTTATTCAACGACATTCATACATGTTGAAAGATTCGTTGAGAGAAGTAGTCTAACGGTTGGATTTCAAAAGAACTGAGTGGATGAAAGGATAGCTAGCGCTAATAGCCATTTACCTATATTCACATGCGTATCAACATCTACGTTCTAGAACCTGCGTATTCCACTCATTAGACGGATACTCTAGTCGCTAGACCATCATGAGTCACTCCTCCGTCTTACAGACCCATGACTACCGCTCTGTCACATCATTTTTGTCTCAAATCCAGTATGTCCAATCGAAATACGCTAAATATCAATCCAAAAAAACAATACTGCTTCAACAAAAGTATATTCAGGTGTTTCTCAAGCATCTAGCGTATCAGTCGTTACTGTTTCATGTTATTCTCAGTGCTAATTTGTTCCCTAGCTATGATGAAAAATCAGAAATAGGTATTTTGCTGTTCTTAAAATTGGTTAGTTTTTTATGATTATTTACAATGATATGAGTATTGTTTTGAACATAGTCACAACGCTAAACCTGATAGTCCCAACTACTTTGTGTTATTTTCAAAAGCTATTTATTCTCTAGCTATAATAAAAAATTCTCGAAGCGTTAGTCAATCAAGAACAAATGTGCAAAACGATTTTCATGCAGTCATAGATGGAGAAAAGGCTTTGGGATACTGAAGATAGTGAAAACATAATTTTCCGTGACATGAAATCGAAATACATCCAAAATACCAGCAAAATATTCATCGTATTGAGATCTATTGTTTTATTTATGGTTCTGAATGTCAGGTTGAATAGAAGTTAGTGAGCAGATTTGTGCTCTTATACATCTACATCCTTTTCTTCGAATCGATATCAAATATTTCCATTTGGTTATTGATTCTGAGAAAGTATAGAGTGTCTGTGTTTGGGACAGGTTCAAACTGACAGCTATCAGCTACATAAATTTTATCGTTCTTTTGTGTTCAGACTAAATTTTTTCTTCGCTCGAACGATCAATATATATGAGTCAAAAGCAAAGCAAGTAACCTGTTGATCGTTTGACTTGAAAGGGAGTGAAAGTCTGCCGAAATATTATTCTATTAGCCGACAATTTTAATGAAATCAAAATTACTTAGGGCATACCAAAAGTACGGGCAGTGACACTTTAATACCGTATAGTAGGCTTATATAAATTTCTTTCTATATAGTCTGATAGAGAAAAAAAGCTCTATCTTTCTATGCTATTTGATCGTACTTCAACTATATATCAAAATATTAAATTATCTATAAAACCTATTTCGGCTGGTTATGTGCTGGTTGTACAGGGTTGCCAAAAATGTTTTTCCATGAAGTACAACTTCAACGATAAATGATATCAACATTCAATTTTATACCAAATGAAAGCCCGTCAAAAACGGGATTTAGGAGTATAACTCGTCATTCTTAAGATGAG